CCTAACATTAGTTGCTTCTAAAAGTTAAATGTCCCTTTCAAGATACTATAAATTATAGATGGTTGGAAGCATTCAATGGTCTACTAATTATTCTAGATTAGTGGTTCAAAACTGATGCACATCAGATGCAGTTTTGTCAGGATATTTTGTGATATTCTGAAATATTTCAGGCAGATGGTGAATAAGTGCATATATGGTTAAATAATAAAACACAAAAGACCTGTTCATGGTCTTAGGCATCAAGTGTTTAATTCTGGCCTTGTACTACTTGCTATCAGGAATTAAATATTGAGAAAATAAAGGGCAGTGGTGAGCCAGACCAAAAAAAAAGGCTGAGTCATGAATTATACACACCCTCATTGGTAAAGGTATTCATCATGTCACACCTGACCTCAAGATATCCTATTAATATTTTAAGTAGATACTTAAGTTTTACATCACTAACATCTGTTTTATGTGGAGCAACAGTAGATCAAATGCCTGAGTAGCACTCTCTGCTCTTTAGGAACAAAACGTACTCCTTGTTTTCCAAGAGGCAGAATTTCAAATGTACAGAGAACCAAAATAAAATCAAAATCCCAAGAAATTCTTATTTATTTTCAATTAGTTCGGCAGGGGGAGATCACTGATCAATGCACATGTCCCTAAACTAGGCTTTTTTTTGGCACTGAAAAGCAAATCTGTTATCTTTATCATAGCAGCATTTTCATAAATATATTGCCTCAAATGGAAATTGTTGCCTTTAAGTTCCTTTAATCAAATATCACATGCAGATTTGTTTTCAGCTGGTTTGAGTTTGACCATAGTATTTAAATAATATTGACATACTGTATTACGGCAAAAGCACCTAGATGAATAAATGCAAGTTTACAGACATAAAAGGAGGAGCAACCCTTCAAGCCTGTTGCGCTGATCGTGGGCTGATCTCGGGCTGATCTCCAGTTCAACCCTATACTTAGCTTTGCTTCATACTTCTGGTCAACAAAAATCCAGCAATGTTTAAAACTAATGATTAATCTAGGAGTTGTCATTTGTGGTAGGGATTTCCAAATTTCAACTACCTTGCACATGTAAAAGTGCTTATTAGTTTCTCTCCTGAAAATTCTGACTCTAATTTTTAGATTATGCCCTTAGTCCTAGACTCCCCAACCAATGTCTTCTCTCTTTACCATATTTACTTTCCCTTTTGTCTTGAAAATTTTGATCAAGTTACTCCTAAACCAATTTTAAGTATTTTGTGCATTGGACATTAATTTGAACAATAGTCCATATCAACACCAAAACATACTATCAACTCAGAACAAAAATTTGATCCCGCTAACAGCACTTTTATCATTGTAATTTATAAAACAAGAACATTTTCATGGCTAAACGGTGCCCTCTCTTGAAAGTTTAGTGTATATTCTGAGAACCAAAATAAATGATTAACTCACAATTTATGTTGCTCACCAAAAGATTAAGAAATCCAATGGCAGTCTGTATGTCATTAACTCTGGAATTAAAATTAGTTCTAACTTTAACTAGAATTGTCTTTTAGATAGGTACTGTGACCCATCAAAATTATTTAAATATATAGTTCTATTCCCTCATTCTATATTGATTCATATGGCACATCAGCAGCATTATTAGGTAAGCTTTACATCAAATCTCTCAACCAGCTGTAAGACTATAATGCTGAGGGAATAAATGCCAATCTAAATACACATTCTTTTTTTGACTATCATATTATGAAATGTTGCATTGAAAGCCAAAGAAAGTACTGCAGACATTCACCCGACACAAAAGAAACCCGTAAAACCACAATATTACAATGTGTGTTCTATCTCCTGCACATGGACTGCAATGGCTCAAGAAGGCAGCTCTCCACCACGTTCTCAAGGGCAGCTACGGATGAGCAATAAATGCTGGTCCAGGCAGAGTTGCCCACGTCCACAAGTCAATTAAAAAAAATCAGAATTCATTTCTTCCTGATTTACAAGCAAAATATAACATTTTGACAGTGATGCCAGATGAGACAATAAGGAAATTTGGCCATTACTTCATACCTTAGCCTGTAATTAGTCCAAGAACACTGGAGGGAAGCCACCTTTAAGGACTTATAACTAAACCATCTAGATTCAGTGTCAAAAAGTAGCATATAAAGGGGTATAGAATAAACTCTCCAATTCTGACAAATCCAGAATTGCAATGATAACATTCAGGTGTCATAAAAATATCAAACCATAGATGTCTAGCCATGTTCTCTCAACCTTATCAGCGTCACTATGTCCAAGTCTGCCCTTCAGCGACATCTTGAGATCACCATTAATCTCATGATTATCAGGATCAACTATGTCAATACAATGATAACAGAAATGGGATAAGGGGAAGATATGCATTAATGACTGTGTCAGGTAGTGAGCCATACACACACACCCCAAATCCACACCCCCCACCCACCCTGCCCTCAATGTCTCAGCGCCATCCATAAGGTTCAAATCAGGAGAGTGATATAATAGAACTCCTGTAAAGAAAGCACCAGTGTTTCACATTAAACCTCCCAACTTGGCTGCAAGAATGTATGAGTCTAGGATCTATCCAATATTAATACATGCTGTTTCCTGTGAAAGTTTGATAAATCCACACCGATTTCAGCTGACCTTTGAGTTGGGACTTTACAAAGGTGGGATATTAAAGGCTCCTGAGCATAACACAAGCACAGCCACAAAACATTTTCAAAAAGTGCCACACAATCCAGGACACATCAATCTGCTGGCTTTCAGCCATGCCAATAAGATTACTGCTACACTACTGTCTCCTTCACTGAGGCAAGGTGCAGGGGTAAAACAACCTCTCCATGGGTTAAGAATATGAAACTTAAGGAGTTTGCAACTTAGTTCAAATAGTCCATTAAGAAACAATAATACCAGATCTTGGAAGCTTTGGAATACTTCAATGGAGAAGGTAGACAGTGCAATTATGGCACGGCTGTGAAAGATTTAGTTATAATTTGCATCTTAAAAACAAGTTGGTAAAATAAACTATATGTAGTAGGCAATTCCTCTCTGCTGAAGGAAAGAAAATTGTAAAAGCAGGATGCACTTTGTAAGGCTGGAGAAGGTTACTGAGATGAACATTCTTTAGAGGGAAAAAGATCCGTCATGCTGACTCAGCCCGGACTTCATAGGACTCCAAAACTCACAGCAAAGTTTGGCCATTTCCAAGGTCAGTTTAGAGTCAGTTGAATAAAAATCAGTAAATAGCACTAAACACAATGAAATTGGACAGACCATCTGACATCAACCTGATCAGAGATGCCAAAGGCACATCCAACCTGGTCAACCTTACAATCCTCCTTTCTAACGAATGGAGGCTTCTGCTAAAATTGGGAGAGCTGACCAACAGACTATTCAAGCAACAACTTGCCAAAGTCATACTCATTTAAAATACACTTTTCACCTCATGTCCCAGACTCTTTAACCGCTTCCCGCCCTCCCTCTATGTCCTGTGCTACTGGCAGGATGAACTACCAAATGTGGCAGCTCAGTCATCCTTGGAGTCCTGAACATGGATTCTGAAACCCATGGCACTATGTCAAAAGTGGGCTAGAAAACCTCCTACTGATTAGTACCTACTGTTTTCCATAACTGATGGATCAGTGCATTATCATGTTGGAAACCACCTGTAAGCAGCATCGATGGAGGCACATGCACCACAATGCAGTCTAGAAGGTTCATCACCAACGGTCATTGGGTGGTCTGACTGAACAGGGCAATTATCAAAGAATATAAATGACAGACTGGGCTTGTGATAGGCACTGAGACTCTATAAGACAAAAGGAAAAATTTTTTGGCCCAGCTGCAATCTATGCATCTAAGATGTATCTGTTCATAACCATATTGATAAGAGCAATGATTGGACATTTCTGATGAGATGAAAGCTCTCTGATACCACCCGGCATGGTATGTGGCACTAGCATCACAAGAACAGGATAAATTCAGAACAGATCTAGCATCTCATGGGCACCACTCTTGGAGCAGCAACACCTGAAATAAAAGAGAACTGAAGATGGGTTGGGCAATTTGCAAGGGTAGTCAATTTTTTTCTTTTAGAGGAGGTGGTTGCTGCCAGTGGACATGAAAGTGCAATGACAGCTTTTGATGACAGGAAAAGTTTAACAATGTCATTTAGAATCAGGACCAGGAGAGTAAGTTAGCTAGTCAATAATTCAGTAAAAATACGATGAAAGGAGCAAAAGATTATCCTGTAGAAAATGTAAGCTTAGACAATGAGAGAAGAAGGGAGAGACAGGGTTCAGGACTAAGTTAAGGGGGAGCCAAAAAGAACAGTTGAGAGTAAAAATAGAGGTGGATTCAGCCAAATGGATTGTTTCAACCCTCACACCAAAGATTTATGCTGAAGACGGCAACTCTGCAGCTGGCAGCATTATTAGCATGTTTAAATGCCACGTATTTTGTTTGTTATCAAGCTTGACAGTTCAGCCTCAATCTAAATAGGTAAAGAACTGGAACATGCATTTTGTAATCTGACAAATATTAGTCATTAAAGAATATATGATAAGCTATGCAGCCATTGCAACTATGAAACAATTATAGATGCAGAAACTCAAAAATATAAAATTATTTTGAAACACAACAAGCTACTGCAAAAATAAATCCATAAAATAATTTCATATAGTGTTGACAGGGTTGTTGCTCAAGCTAATTGTGTTTCTGATTGTAGAACGTACACTATCAATTTTGGGGACTTGTAAAAGTTAAACATGGCGAACATTGATAGCAAAAAAACAAAAACCAAGTTGCTGGAAAAGCTCAGCAGGTGTCCAGTGACCCTTCCTCAGAACCGGACCCGAAGCGTTAACTGTTTTCTCCTTCACAGATGCTGCCAGACCTGCTGAGCTTTTCCAGCAACTTTGTTTTTGTTTCTGATTCACAGCATCCGCAGTTCTTTTGGTTTTTATTGATAGCAAAAAACCTTGATTAACAATTCATTCGACTCACCTGGTTTCCTGATAATGGAGAGGTAAAGTGATGGCTGTGCAAATTACGCCCTGTGTTTATATGGGTCAAACGAATAGTCTCACCACATTTTATTGGATTTCCACGTTGGCACACAGTGTCACTTTTTCCACATACCCTCCAATAACTATTACTGTCATCTGCTTCAGTCACTCCAGTCACAGACTGCTGACCACTTCCTAGAATAGAATACTTTATAGGAATTACTTCAATATTGGTTTCAGAATTTCTCCAAGGCACAAAACTAGTATGGGCTTTGAAGACTGAAACAACATTTGAAACCCAGAGTCAAAAGTAGCAAAAGACTTTTACAAACAGCTGTATCAGAGCACACAGGCTCCTGTAGGTGGTGCAAGGAGCACACAAGCAACTTCACTAAGAAACAATGGATGCAGCTGCATTCAACTGGAATGACTGTCTATTTAGCCAGGACTCAGTGGCCTCAATCGGTTGAATGGCTTACTTGGTCTTCTCTGAATGGAGACATTTAAGAGATCCTTAGGGTAGATTAAATATCCTTCCTCTAGATCATGTTCCCATCCCCACCCCCTTTCCATTCCCTTCAGACCCCTTAGCTAACTCACCCCCTTCCGGCTCTGGACGCCTTTCCCACCCACCAACCCCATCCTCTTTCCCCTCCAGATCCCCTTCCAACCCCAATCCCCTCTGGAACCCTTTTCTACCACCAGCTCTCCCATCCCCGACCCCTCTCTCCATCCTCCTCTTCCACCCTACACCCCCTCCAGATACATTTTTCCAATTAGCACGCCTTCAGACTCCTTGCACCTATCCTCCTCCGGAAGCCTTTCTCATTCTACGACCTCTCCAGGCCCCAGGCCCCAGGCCCCAGGCCCCATTCCATCCTCCATCCTCCATCCCCCACCCGACCTTTACCCTGTCCCTATCCCCCTTACCTGAGCCATACTTCACGTCGTGTGAGTGTAACCTCACATTGTGTCGGGTGTTTAATAATTTTATAACCGAACCACAAGTGACGTAGCTCAAGTCAGATGTCTCCAGGAGGCCGCACACCCAAAAACTGGAAAAAATCCAGAGTCGCCAAAACAGCGAAACCGCCTTTGGCCCAAGGCTCATTTTCCCCTTCTACCAGCTCCCAACTGACAGCCAACGTCAACACCGACAAGGCACCAAGCGGCAAGTGGATCCTGAGCGTCAAATACCGCACTCCGATTACAGCGCCACTAGGAGGATCATCGCAATCAGTGTCGTTGGGAGGACCAGCTCAATCAGCGCCACCGGCAGTCTGGGAGGATCAT